GTGATAATGCACTCTTAGTTAGATCCTTTATAACATTTCTGTTTGTTGCTTTGGCTATAACACATGATAATATCAAAAAAGAATAATATTCATAACTACAATATACTTATAATAACAATACCTGCTAAGCAATTTGCATGTATTATCTTTTCAAAACCTCCAAAAGAGATATCTGCTGCCTCAATTTTAAGGGGAAAACTGAGGTCTTGAAAAGCAATGTAAGAGTTACCATTAGGACCCTTGAAAGGTTGCGAAGGGAAATTACATTGCATGACAAAAAATAAAAAAAAAAATAAAAAATAAATAAATGTGAATTCTAAGACCCCACCCCACACTGAATCTAAAACCTGGGGCTAGAACCCAGAAACCTGCATTTAAGAAGCCCTTCAGGTGATTCTGATGAATATAGAAGTCCAGATCTTGTTACTGTGATTAGCAATAACTTGCTCAGTCTCAATTTTAAGCATGTTACCTACCATGTGGCTACTGACTTCTGTCTTCCTAGCTCACCTGACCTAGTCTCCCAACTCCTAAAATCCTTCATACCCACTGAGACCATAATTTGTTGATTCTACCATTTTTTCACTAGTTCTTAAGCCTCTTATATCCTTACTTTTCCCTTATCCAGCCTCATATTTGACTACTGTTTGACCGTTCTCTTTCACATACCATATCCAAAGAGTAAATAAATCCTATCAGCTCTCCTTTCAAAATATATCTAGAATCTAACTTTTCTTATATCCTGCACTTTACTCCAGTGCAAGCACTTTGTCACTTGCGCCTACTTTCCGCACAGCAGCTAGAGTGATCCTTTGAATGCCCAAGGTTATGCTGCCAAAATTCTCTATGCTTCTTCTCTTAGAACAAATACACAAGTTATAAACACCTGCAAGATTCTGCGTGATCTGACCTTCCCTGGCCAGCAAGTCACTTCTCCCTTTGTCCTCCCTCTCTCCCACTGTGGAGCTTCATTTTTATGGTTAGAACTTATTACCACTTGACATACTCTGAATGCTCTTGTTTCTGCCTGTCTCCCACCGTTGGCGTGGCAGCTTTCTGAGGGCAGAGGCTTTTCTTGTTTACTGATAGAGCCTCAGCCTCTAGAACCCTGCCCGTCAAATAGCAGGGACGCAGTTATTTGTGAATAATGAACGGATGGCATCGTTTTCTATACGGCCTAAGGTTAACACCACTACCCTTTTGTTCATTCATCAAATACTTGCTCATCTTATAAGGAGATCGAATATGGAGAAAAGCCCCAGAGAGTTTCCACTCCAATATGGGAGAACAACTAATAAATAGATCTAAAATCACAACATTATAAGTATCAACATTAGGATGTGTATGGACCTATAAGAACAAAGAAGGGGAAAATAACCCAGCTAAAACCACAAAGCCAAAGAGGCCATGGCAGGCTTTCCCAAGGAAGTGATGACTGAGGTGAAATCAAAACAAAGAGTAGAGGTTAATTGGGCAAAGTAGCTATGGTGGCAGAAAGTGTAGGTGGGCAGATGGGAGGGCAGGTGCAAGGGCACTGTGGTAGAGGGAGCATGGTGAGCTCAAAGAACTGAATGGAGTAGAGGGAGGATGGGAAAGGAACGCAGGAGGACAGAAGGTTGGAGACTTTTTAATTATATCTCTTTGTTCCACATAATTAAGAACTTTTTAAAACATCCTGCTTCATTCAACAGAAATCCCATTTCCAATCTCTAAATTGGTATCATATTACTACTCAATTTATATATACTTAGACTCTAGCTTCATAATGATTATATTAAGTGCACCCAAAAGGAAAAGAAAAATGAGAAAATGAATACATGTTATGTTGAAAACTCAGCTTTGTTGATGTGTGTTTAAAAATACCTCAATTTACTAGAACATCCTAAGGAATGGGGTAGTCTGATTAATTTATGTAGTTTGCATCCCTGTTGTTGGAAAACTGAGGCTTAAGAATAAAATTATTTTGTTTAAATCTTTTCAGAGAAGCTTAAAAAAGTAAGTTTAGCCCCCTTTCCTGCTTTATTGGGGGATTATTTCACAAACGATAGATGGGACATGTAGCATGTACTTTTATATATACTACAAGCCTTTGACCACAACGTACTTATCCTCACAGGCCCTACACGACTGTTCTCATTTCCACACATTTCTATTCCTCTTGGTTACGAGGTAGGAAAAGGGTGCCATACAAGGTGTTCGTTTGGGGGCTGCCATGTGGTGCCTAAATACCCTCTGTACTGGGAACGTCTTTTTTTTTTTTTTTTTTTTTTTAGCTGAGCCATCCTGCCACCTGTTGGCAGCTCAGAGGCTGCTCAGCTTGGGCTGACTCGAACCGCTGTTGCTCAGAGCTCAAACTCTTGAGCGAGCTCTTAACCAACTGAGCCACTCAGCCGGCCCAATACCCTCTGTACTGGGATTGCCTCTGCTTGAGAAATGAAGCAGAGTCTTTTGATAAATTTACCAGGTACGATAAACTTTAATTTCAATATTTAATCTGACTCTTGGATTCCAGGGTTTAGAACAAGGTTCTTGTCCTTGTCATGGTTTCAATAAAAGTGAGCCCTAGATTTTATGTGCTTAGTCCTCCTAGTGAAAGGATGGCCGTACTCTCCTTATGGCAGTTTTTTTTATTTTTTATTTTTTTTAAATACCCGATTCAGAATCACACATTGCATTTAGTTGTCTTCTCTTCAGTCTTAATCTGCAATAGGCCCTGTGCCTCTGTTTTTCATGGCCTTGACATGTTTTAAACAGTTTAAGACAGTTATTTTGAGAATGCAGTTATTTGTTTGTGTGAGTGTTTCAGCATGTTAGAGCCTCGTTATGAACTTGGGGCAGAACAACTGCAGAAGTGGTGGTGCGTCCTTCTCGGTGCTGTGTATTGTGTGTCATGAGGCATATGCGTCCGTTTGTATCATTAAGGTGTTGTTAACTCTGGTCACTTGACTAAGGTGCTGCCTAGCAGATTTCCCCACTGTAAAAGGGGACATTTTTACCCTTTGTAATGAGGGCAATAAAGAAGGACAGAGTTTGAGAGGAAGTAAATATTGGTCTTTCATGAGAGTTTTTGTAGAAATGATACAAAAATAGTTAATAGAGGCACATAGAAGAAAATGGGAGTGAGAAGCCAGAGAAGTGAATTCTGTTGGTGATTGGGCAAGGCTTCAGTGAGGAAGTGGTATTAGAAGTGAGCTTTGAGAAAGTGGTTGAATTTTTGGAGAAATGTTCATAGGTGGAATGGAAAGGAATAACCGTCTGGACAAAGGAAATTCTGGAATGCCTGGTATCTGGCAAGTTCTTAATACAGTGGATCCAAAGCATGATGGGGAAGCTGAAATGGAACAGGAAAACCCTGCACTCACTTAGCTTTGTGCATTTGCCCTGCTGGCCTCACTGCTTAATTTCCTCCCTCCCTCCACCCCTGCCCTTTGGCTGTGGGGTAGGATAAGGTGTGAGGAAGGAGGGGATTCTGTGTAGTGAAAACACCGTGAACCAAAAGCCCCACTCAAATTCTCTCTTCTCCAGGAAGCCTTTTCCAGGTCCCCAATAAGAATTATCCTCCCTCCTCTCACACACTCCCATGGCACTTTGTGCCTCTCAAGTTAGCAAGTCTGTTCTCTCTTGTCCTGTTTCTGTGGATACATCTTCCTCCTTTAAAGCATGAACTATATCTTAATTGCTCTTCCCAGCACTTAGCACAAATGCTCAATAAATGTTTCTTACTATGGGTGAGAGAGGAAGGAAAGAGACAAAATAGGTTGGAGTTTGTTGGGGGAGGGCTCTGAATATCATTTCAAGGCGCTCAGGCTCGCATCACAGGCAGCAATGAGCCATGGCAGCTTTTGAACAATGCAGGGGGATCAGAGCTGGGATGGGCGGAGGAGAACATCAAAGCGCCCATGAAGTGGGACCCCAGGGGCAATTACAGAGGATGGAAGGAGTTCAGCGTGGTCCTATCACTTCCTCATCCCAAACTCTCCCTGAATTCAAAACAGTATGTGCTACTGAAAGGTTTAATTATATCAAATGTGATGAGAAATAAGATATTGTCTCCACTTGAGGCACAAAAAACTGACTTTGGTGTAAGTCACATTTTTCATTTGGCTGTAGTAATGGTTTTATTAAAAATGGATGTTAATAACTTGCTTTTTTAACCTTGAATCCGTGTGAGAGCAGCTTACCATAAAACGGTCCTCGGCTTCCTTTTGGCTCCTGTGTCCCTCCTGCCCCGTCCCTAACAACAGAAAACTCGCTTTGCACCTGCTCCAACTGGGTTCTAAGTGATAAACATCTTGCAAGCCCAGAAAATTGTAGTATCAAATCTCAGCCCCAACTGTGAGGCAGCACTATCCTCGAATCCCCGCTGAGAGGCGTTGCTTTCCCATTTCCCAGGGGAAGAGTCCTTTCTCCCCCGGCCCCTTTTCAGGCTTGAACTTTGACCTGAATCCTCTTTCCCAGCATGCATTGTTCTGGGTGCTGGCCCTGACCTGGCCCTGGATGTGCTGTATTCCATCCTGGGCTTATCCATAGGTCAGGCCTGGGTGGCCCCGAGGTCACTGAAGTGCCCAATTCCAATAATGAGCATATTTATGCAAGGAGAGGAAATGGACTTTCCTATTTGCTATAGTCCATTGCTTTTCACCTTAGAAACAAATGTTAAAGGAGGATTTGATATATTGTTTTTGATTTGGTGAATATATATAAACATTGCCTAATATTCATTAATTTTCATTCACATCTTCCTTCATAAATTAAATACTTTGTTATAACTAATGATTTATGTTAAAAGGGATATTCCTATTTCACTGCTAGGAAATGTAAGAGTTTTAATATTATATAATGCCATGTTCAGGAAAACTCTTGTAAGAATTTAAAATAAAAATAGCAAATACTATTTCAAGGTATGTAACATTCTAACTGGACTTAGTACATGGCTTTAAAGGGAAAGAAAAAAATTCTGACAGAGATTTTATAATTTTTTATTTATGCTTGCCTCTTAGGTTTTTCCAACAGACCAAAGTCATTAAAAATATTCCTTAACCCCCAAAGCCACAAAAAAGAAGCTACCCAAGTCTATTATGAAAAGGTTGAACCACTGTTGAAGATTGCAGGAATAAAGACTGATGTAACAAGTAAGTCATTTTTACAATATATTTGGTATTAAAAAGAAAAAAATCACACTTAAGGAAGCAAAATAACCTGAATTTGTTCCTAATCCAAATTTAGGAAGCTATTTGTCATATTTAAAACTTCTTTTTTATGTGCCTCCATAACCTCTAGTGCAGCCAGCTCTGGGATTATAACTAAATTATTTTTTCTTTTTTATTGTTATTTTTATTAGAATGTCAGTATTGAGACCCTGTTTCAGACTTTAAAATAATTTGGTATCACTTAATGGGAGCTGCACACTTTTTGATATCTTCATTGACATGTTTGCAATTTACACATTATTTTTGCAGTTTGGCAAGCAATTGATTTTTGCTCACTTAAATGTTTGATGTCTTTCCATGGAATCCTTCATTAGGTGGTTTTTGTTCTGACTCTGACCCCTGCTGGTTAGGTCAACACTAAGCACTTAACTGCTGGTTTGAGATGAATTTAGAGAAGCCAGAAGCTTGAATTTATTGTCTGAAATAAGAAAGGTGCTTGGGTTTGTGCCTAGGAAAATAGAAATTTGCTAACGCTGAAATTAATAGAAAGAAGATTAGTAAAATCCTTTTCAGTGTTTTGAATTTGGTGACCAAAGTTCTTTGGTTCCTTGAGACGCTTGATTTTCCCACGGGGAGGTAGCCTGAGGAGTGTTGATGCTTTTGAGAATCACACCCTCAATTTTTCAGGTTTTATTTCTGTGCAGTTTCACTAACACAGTGTACATTTATAGTAAATTTTAATTGAGGAAGTGAACTGAATAATAAGCCTACTCAGGAGACAAGGCCAGAGTGCACTTGGAATCTCCTAGCCCCAACGGTAAATTGCTGGGGAAGGGATTCAAAGTGACCTGGTTTTGCTCAGCTATAACCACAGGAGAGGGGTCTTGCAATGTCACTAAGATAAGCACACACTTCATGACTTGATGGTTTGGGATAGAAGGAAGTTCCTAAAAATACATGTATGCATACATACATACATACATACATACATATATACATACAATTTATAAAGGCAATCTTTGTGGGAAGGTCAGCTCCCCCAAAAAGGCATCTACTACAATGAAGGTTCAAGAGAAACCACTGTGAAAAAGTCAGGAGCAATTTCTGAATTAAAATGAAATCATAGTGAAGGAGTTAACCTTTCATCTTTGTGGCCTTTGGCTTTACTTAGGCATGATTTAGGGCAAAAAGAAACAATTCAGATCTATCATTCCTTCCCACTGAAGATTTTCAAAGACTGGCAGAAGGAAAAGTTTGAAATTCCTATTAGGGTGAGACAATTAAAAGGGGAGTAAACTTATTGGCAAGCTCCATACCATTAATTATTTTGTTTCATTGATTTAATGGTCAAAACTGTTTCGCGTGGATATTACTATGTACCAGTCAGTTCAGGAAGCTCTTGTTGAATGCTTCGTGTTAAGCTGTGCAGAATGCAGGAGGAATAAGCTATACTTGAGTGCTCTTGAGTGACCTTTAGCTTATTAGAGATTCAAATAGATATTTAAAATAAATATAACTGGAATATACAGAAAAGAACTGTGCTGTTTCAGAAGGTGATACTAATTTTGACAGGTAGACTCAAGGAAAGTATTTGAACTGCATGTTTGAACTGGACAGTTTTGGAGAGTCAGAGAAGGCAAAATGGTTTGCTGTGTGTAAGCGGCAGAAGAAAAGTGAAGGAAGAAAGGCAAGCTAGCAGGCAGACGCAGGTGTGTGCGTGTGTGTGTGTGTGTGTGTGTGTGTGTGTGTGTGTGGTACCTATGGTAACTCGGGAGTTCTTTCATAACTTAGGTTGGCCTTCCTCAGTTTTGGCTTCCTCTTAAGTCTGGCCCTTTCCATCATCATAAAATGGTTGCCAGTGGATTGGATCCTCTTTTATTGAAATCTAGAGGAATGGGGAGAGGTGTATGTATGTGAGGGATGCAGCATACTTGAATCCTGAACAAGGATTCGAATTTCTTCCTTTGCGTTTGTCCTAATGTCGTATGTATGCCCAACCTGGAGCAACCGCTGTCTTAACTATCAAGACCCTTCCCTTGGGCTGGGGGGCGGGACCCCCTTTTCCTGAAGGCTGAGAAGTCCTGAGCTGAATCTGAATTCTGTTATGGAGGAAAAAGGGCACGTTGACTTCTGGGCAGGCCCCCAGCAATGTGCACTGGAGGACGTTTGAGTCTTGATTATGGATGGATCATGACGCTATTATATTCAGAAGTTTACTCATGATGCATTGATCCAGAGTTGGTATAAATTTTGTATCATAGTGTTGTAATCTGGTTTAGCAGAAAGGATTCTGCTAGCAGAATCGAGATTAGAAAGGAAGGGAGAGAGATTGGAGGAAAGGAAACTAGTACAGAGGTCTGACCTTAGGCAGAGAGAAGGATAGGAATGTGCTTTCCTTTTTAAAACAATTGTATTGGAGAGAAAAATAGTGTGTCCTAGGGCTGTTTTCCCTAAATTTGTAAATGTTACTGAATATTCTATTTAGTTTAACATAAAATAAAATTAGAATATTACATAAAGCTAACTTAGAATTTATTTACATACTTGTGCAGAATGACTAATTATTAGCTGCTTAACACTCCTCCTACAGGCAAAATGATAAAATTGCATCTTTTGCTTACAAAACCATTTTTCTATGTATATTGGCTAAATATTTATATAAAAATGCTTCCTATTTTGTACGAAGTACTGAATAATCATGAGGATACTTGGAAAGTTTTAGAATCTTTGTGCCTATTCTCACAGTGTAGTTGTGTAGTTTGAATAAGGTAATATATTTGAAACTACCATTTATGTTATAAAGTGCTATAGAAAAATGATCATAATGTTATACATTTCAGTTTCATAAAATTATGAATGGTAAGATTCCATTCACACTTCATTTGATAGAAAATATATCTTATGTGAAAGAGTAAATCGAAAGAGTAGATATTGTCTGCATGTCCAGTATGACTATTATTTCAATGTTTCTTGTGTACATTGCTGAGTTCAAATAGAATTTGAATTACATAATAAATTATATACAAGGATTAATTCATGGGAAGATAGTGCTACATAAATGAAGCATGATTTTTAAAAATTATAGCTAGATATATTCATTCTAGTTTTTCTATAAATCTCTTTTAAAAATGGATCTCTTCATATTAATGAAAACATACTTACTCCTTTCATTTTGGCATGTGCTGATACTCTCACTACTTCTGAATATACATCAGCATCTTTAGAATTAGATGAGCTAAAGTTTCATTCCCCCCCCCCATAGCCAATATGCAATATCTTGTTTCATAATTGTTCAGAAAAGTTCTGGAAGAAACTAGAAAGAACTGAATTATTTTTCCTAATAACTTGTTGGTATATGAATCAAATGAAGGCATGAGTGGTAAGCCCATGTTGACATATGATATCATTCCTTTCTCTTCCTGTTCAAACAGCAGACTTTAGGAATTAGACCATTCAAGGTATGAAGAACACTGAGAGGTCATAGATTCATAGGATAATTCAGAGAATGATAAAGTGAAAAAGTCAGGGCAGCTGAGAAATCAAACTGGAAAGAACTTTGGAGGCCAGCTAGTCCAATTTCTCCCATGTGGTAGAGTCCAGGCATGTGGTATTCCTCATGGATGGCCATCCAGCCTTGGCTTGGACACCCGATAGTTGAGTAAGCGTGTGCCATTATTGGACATTGCTGATACACCTTCTTACCTTGAGTTCAGGGTCACTGTGCCTTTGTGCAGATTAGAAAAGGACCTGCTTTGTGCTGGGTTACAAAAGAATGACTTTTGATTCAGCCCAAGGTCACCTACCATGTTGGATAGGTGTACTGGCTGGGTTGCAAACTCACCTGCCTCTTTGGCCAAATGCCTTTGTGAAAGGCATAAACTGCACACCATGAAGAAATTGTGAGTTGACATTTGCCTCCTTGCAATTTTTGTCTACTAGAGTTAATGTTATCTTTTGTGGTAATACAAAATAAATGAAAATGAAATAAATGTGTCCCATCTTGTGTATAAGAGTTATCGAGATATTTGAAAACAGGTATAATGACTATGCTTTTTTATAAAGATTTTTATTTAAAAATATAGCTAACATACAATATTATGTCAGTTTCAGGTGTACACCATAGTTGCTCAACTTTTATATACCTAAAGAAGTGGTCACCATGATAAGTCCAGCAACCTATACCATGCTTCCACAATATTATTGACTATATTCCCTATGCTGTACATTACATCCCCATGACTTAATTGTTTTATACTTGAGAATTTGAACCTCTTATTCTCCTTCACCTTTCACCCCCTTTTTAATTTTTTTCAATTACAGTTGACATTCAATATTATTTTATATTAATTTTAGGTGTGCAGCACATGCCTAGACATTTATATAATTTAAGAAGTGATTCCCCTGACTAGTCTAGTACCCATTGGACACAATACAGTTATTACCATATCATTGACTATATTCCCTATGCTTGACTTTACATCCCCATGACTATTTTGTAACTACCAATTTGTACTTCTTAATCCCTTCACCTTTTCCACCCTGTCCCCCAACTCCTCTCCCATCTATTAACTTGATAAATCTAGTACCATCAGACACCACACATAGTTATTACAATATTATTGACTATATTCCTTTGCTATACCCTACATCACCATGACTACTTTGTAACAACTAATTTGTACTTCTTTTTTTTTTTTAAAGATTTTTATTGGGAAATTGGGGGATGGGAACAGCGCTGGGGAATTGGGGGAAGGGGAACAGACAAGTTGCTGTCGTTTTGTTCTTCAGTCTAGTTGTGGAGGACGTTGCTTCACTGGCCCAAGTTGGCACCATCATTGCGCTCTTCCCGGGCGAGGCAGGTCAGTCGCCGGCTTCTGGATAGCCGCTCATGGCGACTGCTGGCAGCTCACACTGGCTGCTGCTGGCTACACATGGTAGCCCATGGCAATCCACTGCCACAGGGGCTGCAGCCTACGCCGTAG